GAGCGCCCACCATAGTATACGCTATTTTTAGAGAGCTATAAATGACTGTCCCGAAGGACTGAAAAAGCGGTAAATATCGGGCCCGCACAAGCCACGGCCCGTTTGTTAGAAGACGCAGCAGTTTGCTCTGTCGCACTTGAAGCGAGAACGTTATTGCCAATAAGTCGTTAGGCCAGAGCAGGAGATGCACGGGTCAATATTTGGCCGAATGCACAGCACGTAAAGCCTTCGCTTATTGCGAAAAGAAAGTTTACTTTTGCTGCTTGATAGCATCTGGTCGCCGCCTCGTAATTTACGAGTGGACCCCATGATGACAGCTTAAAATCTATAATAACCCCCACCTGAAAACATCACGGGACTGCCTTGCCGTTAAAAAAAAAATTACGGAGAGTCGGCAGCGCATGGTATTTCTTCGTGTTAAGAAGAGCCATGCTTTCGCTGAGTTAATGGAGAGGCCTTTTTAGACGACACCAGCTAGCAAGCGCGTCGAGATAATATTGTAAGTGCTGACATAGTAAAACGGGTGACTTTGACGAAGAATAGATCATCGTATCGTCGGCGTAATTGGCGGCTTGCGTTGAGAATGGACTGGAAGAAGAACGCCGCTCGTATAGAGCGCGAATAACAGCGGTAATAGAAGAGAGCTTTGCAGGGCTCTCGTTGCAAGATAGCAGGGCGACGGCAGTGCAGCGCCTACTCGAACGTTGAAAACCCTCTGGTTAGGTACGACTTGAGTACCTTTTGAAGGCCGCGCGCTATCGCCAAAGCGTGTAGCTTGCATAACAGGAACACCATTCCATACCCGGTCAAAAGCCTTCTCAGCATCGAGAAAGACAGCGCCGATGGCTTTTTTTAAATCAAAGGCTCTGGTCGTCCACTCGGTTAAGCGAAGAATATGTTGGGTCGTTGAGTGTCCCTTGTGAAATCCAACCCTGAAACTCTGGGGGAATTCCACTAGCGCCCACTTCCGCTTTCAAACAATTAAGTATCGCTGCTTCAGCTATTTTACAAATTGCCGACAAAAGGCTAATGGGCCGATAGTTGTGAAGCGCTGACGCCAATTGCGACGTCTTTGGTAACATCACAACCACCGCCCTTTCCCCACGCCCTGGGAAATAGTCGAAGGTCAAACACCGAGTTGACGAGGCTGCATAGATGATCTATAGCAGCCTCTGGTAGCTGTTTTGACATCAGGTTAGTGATGCCGTCATGGCCGGGTGCCTTTCGCTTCAATAGTAATTTGATGATTAATTTTATCTCATCTGTGGTAGAAAGCTCCAGAAAAACAGTGGGGGGTATCAAACGAGGTAATATTAGTTACGAGAGGAGCGTTGTCGACATTTGAGAGGGTAGACGGCGAACACTGGGCAGCTAGATGATCAGCAAAAAGAGGTTCGCTTTATTTTTATCGCTTTCAGCTACGATATCACCGTTACGAAGTGGTGGCCGAGTCGAATGTCCGCGATTTCTAACTCGCATGCCTAATTTCCAAAAAGAGGCGCGACCGATGACACCGGCTTCCGATACTTCCATTAATTTGCTATCTCATTGGCAGTTTACGTGCCCCATGAGCTTTTCCTTGATGTTCCGGTGAAGGCGGTTTCGCACAATACTGTCTTCTGCGCGTTGGAAAGTCATGACTACTTGGATGAGTCGCCGACGCTCGCATATTGATGCCTTTAGTCCCTCAGAAAGGCGTTTAGAGCGGTTACACGACTTCACGTGTCGTCGTTACTTTGCTGTGGGCTTTCTGTCATCGCCCATTCAAATTCGACAACGCGGTGTTTAGTTTAGCCAGGAGTTTCGAGTGGTGTCGTAAACGGTAGGGGCGTCTTCCCGAGCACTTCGCTTCGGAGAAAGTGTTCCAATTCGTGTAAGATCGGGCGTATGTCCTTATTGCCTCCTTTTCGTCACCCAATCGGGCAGGACAGGCCATGGATCCGACGACAATTCATTGAGCGCCTCAGTAGCTGTAAAAGGTATATATCTTTTAACGCGGCGATATCCAACACATCCATTGTGCCCGTCTTCCTCGCCATGTGTGTGTTGGCAACTGTGATCTTAGGATTCTCAATCCGCGTTCCTCAGCGCAAGCCTAAGGACGTAGTCGTTCAGGTTTGCAACCCGATTGTTCCACGCAGAATGTTTACAGTTAAAGTCTCCGCATAGAATGGCCGGAAAGTCATGCACTAGAAGAGCATCAAGACCGAACAACGTGAGTGGTTGACTGGGTGGTTTATAGAACAACATTAAGGTTATGGGGGGGGGCCCTGTCTAACCAGGTTAAGGGTAATACCAACAGCCTCGATCCCTTGCAGAACTGGTACTGCTTTTAAATTGTGTTGAATGCTTCCTTTGATCAGTAGAGATACTCCTCCACTACTGTTGTACAACCGATCCCGGCTATACGTCGCAAAGTTACAGATGTTAAAAGGTACAATAGGAGAGAGCTGTGTTTCGCTGGCAGCACAGATACCTATTCTTTCACATTGCATTAACTACTGCAACTCCTTTTTTTTTCTTCTGGACGCCCTCTGCGTTTCAAGACAGTAATCGGATACGAATAAGTGTTTAGATTCTAAAAGCCATTGCGAACAAATTCTAAGTCTTGCACGGTCTCGGGCATGGTCAAGAAGAGATACCATGGAGTACAGAGCACACCAATGAGAAAGTCCCTGATTTAAACACGGCTGTTGAGCAAATGGAAGGAGCTCTAAAAGAGGGCTATATAGGAGGTCCACTCCATTTGAAGAACGAAAAATTAGCAATATGACCTACTAGACCATATCAGATCGCTTGTTAAGTAAAGGCGATAGTTGAGGCAAGATATATGAACTCTTGTTTTCCAGGCGACAAAAAACTTTACGACAAGGTCAACACTCGAGTTAAGGAGGAATTAAAAGCTTAGTTTTACGAGTGCTGGCAGATTAAATTTTTGAGTTTCTTGGTCCAAAGAATTCCCTAAGAAAATTAATAAGGGTCATTCGATCTACTGAGAATAGGGACAAAACACTGCCTTTCTATAACGTTGGACGCTCGGCAATGAGGTCCTCTGAACAGTAGAGGCATCCCCACTCAACCATAATAGAGTGCGACTATAATGAACACCATTCCATGCACGTGTCCACCATAGTTACCGCTCACCTTTTAAGATTTAATATAAGTAACAAGGTTAAACTAACCACCAGTGCGGAACTTAAAACTTTTATCCAATCCCTTAATAGAAGGAAAGTCTCGGGTTCCCACGGTATTTCTGATTTAATGCTTAAAAACTCAAACTCCACGAGCTATTTCATTGATTTCAAAACTTATTAATTAAATACTTACCACTGCCTACTTCCCCAAACGGGTGGAAATTAGCGGAAGTAATTCTTATAACTATAACTAAGTCCTCTAGCTGTTTTATTAAGAATTATCGCCTAATAAGCTTGTTGTCCTGCCTAGGAAACGTGGCAGGAGCGGTTATCCTTTCTAGTTTATAAGAACTTGTAGATAGTATGTGCGTCTTCCCTAAGTTACTTATCAGTCCACCAGATACACAGGCTTACGGGAGAAACTACGAAAGCTTTTAACATAGGAAAGTAACAGTTGTGTTCTTTTTAGATATTAAGAAAGCCTTTGATTAAATGTGGCACGACGGCCTAGTCTTTAGCTTCCCTTTTACTTAACTGCGGTAGTACACATATTTTTAACAGATGGAACTTTTACTGAGAGAGTAAGTTTGTTGTAGTCCGCTATTAGATAAAAAAATATGGGTTGTTCTCACAAAGCTCCTTACTATTTCCTTTACTTTTTTCTATCTACATATCCGATAAGCCCCAATCGTCAAAAATAATTTTAGCTCAGTATGCTAATGGCAACCTTATTTTATAGTTCCAAATCTGCCTCGCTGTTTTTTAAAAACATACAGTCTTATTTGACAGTACTTGAGGCATGGTTTTCAACATGGAGGTTAATAATCAAAGTGTCGAAAAGTACCTTTAAGATCATAACAAAGAGATTACTAGCCCCGACCCCTAGTCACCTTAAAAAAATACTGTCAACCCTTGAAGGAAGATGGTTAAATATCCCGGAGTTATGTTAGAAGACAAACTAAACAAGACTCGGAATTTTTCTTCGTTTCTAAAACCACACAAGCTATAGCGGTTTTGTATCCCTTATTATGCAGGAAAAGCAAACTGTATTTGAGAACAAGCTTCTGTTATACAAATCGGTTATGCGACCGCTGGCGGCTTATACTTCTGTTGCCTGTGCTACTCCGGAAACAAGTATATACAATGCCTACAAATACTACAATATCTCGTTTGAAAAAGGTGATGGACGTCCTTGGTTTGTGCGCAACAGCCAACTAAATAAAGTGTAACCTCGAGCCTATCCAAGCATATAAAATTTCACAGAACTTGCTTACTATAGTCAGTAGTCACCACAGCATACTAAGGCAAACGCTTAATTATGCCTTTCGTTGGTACACCAAGTACCCGCGGCCAAAATATTTCCTAGATCTATTAGAGTGGGGATATGGGCTGGTTCTAGTTTATTTCATTAACCTATTAATATATATATTAATATATGTATATCTAATAATATAACGGTATTAATACTTAACTATTTTATTAAATGTAATATTGTTATTACTTTGCTATTACGCCTTTATTAATGTATACTAGTTAGCTGAAACGCATCCGTTCTTCACGTTGATGATGCAATGAATCGTTAGGGAAGTTGTGGCTTCCCACCCTCAATTAATATAGGGAAAGTAGATTATATAGCAATTGATTATAAATCACGCCTGTAGCAAGCCAGTGCTATAAATAAATAAATAAATAAAATACTAATAATTTGATAGTCCCCCCTCTCCCATAATAAGGGATGCTCTCCTGTGAAACCACTATGGTAGAGAGGTCGGACTAGTTGAGGTCTGTTAACTCTTGTGCACCAAAACATAAATTAATTTTTAACCGAGGAAAGCTCATAAAACTAGTTTTACCCATCAAGCCGAAATGGAAAGTGGTTTGAGTGAAAAAGAAAAAATGGAAAGAGGATTATACTATAAAGCGAATGATTACCAACTTACAAAATTGCGGAGTAAATGCCGTAGTTCTCGTCAAAGTTATAATCTGTCAAATCCCGCTACTACGGAAGGAAAAGCTTATCTTGCGGAAATTTTAAATCCTTTAAAGGATGCCGTAATTCATTTTTTTGGTTATTTATATTTGATTCATATTAACTGATTTAGAATTTTGTTTTACCTAAAAACCTGTACATTGAAACGCCCTTTTTTTGCGATTATGGATACAACATTAGTATTGGCTCCAACTTTTATGCAAATACCGGTTGCATTTTTTTAGATGTCTGCAAAATTAAAATAGGGAACGATGTTAAATTAGGACCAGGTTACTCTGAGAGCTTTTTCTTGTGTATGTGTCCATTCCTTTGTAAAAATAAAAAGGTGTCCAGTTACTTACTGCTGCGCATCCGTTAGATAAAGAAAAAAGGTATGCTTTACTATTTATTTTTCAATTTTTTTTTAAAGTTAACTTTTAAAATTAATTTTCAGTTACTCTTTGTACAAATTCATATAGAGCTCAAAATTGGGAATTTGGTAAGGAAATTAGTATCGGAAATAACGTATGGATTGGGGGCGGAGCTATAATACTGCCTGGTATATCTGTTGGTGGTAATCACCTTTACCATGTTTATATCTTATTTGTTTACGTAATAACTTATAGATGGCTGCGTCATTGGAGCTGGTAGTGTAGTAACGAAAAATTTAGAACCTAATGGAGTTTTTGCTGGCAATCCTGCCAAGATAATTCGAAAATTAGAAAATTAGAATCTTGACTTTTGTTTATCGCATAACGTTTTAGATCAATAAAATTTGTTTATATAAAATTGTTTAAATCCAACATCACCCTAAAGCACTGAGGAAGGGTTGCCCCGGTAAACGGCTGAACTTATAAAATGTGCTAAGCTCTAAAAGGTCGGTACAGACCCGAATGGCATTTCTTATTTAAGGTTTTCACCTCCCCAAACTGCAAGGAAGAAAGTACTTACTTTGCTGAAACTGATAAAAACAGTGTAAAGTACCTCCTTTAGCAGACCGCCGCTTAAATTAAACTTTGAAACACTTTTTTTTTAGCGAAAAACATATTATGCTGAAGTAAACTTGACTATATTTAAAAATTGCAATTAAAAAGATTCATCCACTGATCTTATTCTTTAAAAATTTTCAATCTTGTACTTCTTTCCTTCGACTTATGGAACGCTTACGATATCAAAACTGCCTTGGATGATCTGCACTTCAGTGCGAAAAGTTGGTTAAACCAATTAACTTCAGTAAGAATTCACCTTATATTTCGTTTAACAGCCGCTTCCACGAGAGGCCTGATCTCGCGCTTCAAGTTCGCACGCTTTCCACCATACAAGGACAGCTTCGCTAGAAATTCCTCGCTTGCTGGAGTCACTGCTTCGTCTTTAAACGTAGCCAGTTCACATTTACTTTTAAAAGGTAACTGTGCAAAGCTGTTGCGCTCTCTTGAACCTGCGGCCGATTCTAAAGGCTCATCCTTATCTAAAAGTCTATTGCCTTTTTTTTTTACAGTAAGGCGAGGATGACTCATCTGCTTCGATAGCTTATAAACAGCGCTACCATGAATTTCGTTATAGCTCAAGCAACGGTTACTTTTATGAGTTCTATAAAATGCACTACTACTCAGGTTAATGCTCGCGGAAAGGATTCGCTTTTCCCGGGAAAAGCCTAAAGATGTCGTAGTCCTGTCAGCAGGGGCTCGAGAGCCCCTTACCATTGGGTTTTATGGTGATCATTTTTAAAAAGGATTTGTACCCTTTTCGATATTGAGTAGTTTGGTAAACAAATAAAGAAGAATGAAAAAGGAAACCATTTTTTTAGGATAAAGTGGTTTTCGTTTTTAATCCTGCGCAAGCGACGACATCAACTAAAAAATAAGAGTAAAAAGTAAAATAGTTGAAGCCCGTCAAAACCTTTCGTAAAGCTTATTTTATATAAAACGGTGCACTTGCGAACTGTTTGATCGAAACTCATTCTAGCACGGTTATTAGTTTTTAAGACTTTTTGCCGATAAAACCTTTTGTTGGTAAGAATTAAGAAGGACAAGAACCCGCCAAGGTAACGGCAAGCCTACTTTTTCTTGCTGGAATGGCACACTTCTCAAGGCCTCACGTGGAAGTAGCCCAGAAAATAGTACTGCTCGCTATAATATTTAAAAATATATATGTAGTAAAAGAGTCGTAGAACACCTCAAACCATAAAAGTACTCTAAATGGTTAAGCCTTATGTCCTCAATACGGACAATAGAGACGTGCTGGGCGAGGCAGAAGGCTTTGCCGGAACTGCGTGGACTCTTGACCAAAACACAGTCACCAGCCGTAGCAGCGGCGGGTGGGCCATGCGAGCGCTGCTAAGGAGTCATTTGGCCTCGACTGTAGAGAGAACCCCAAACTTTATGCATCGGAAGTGTTCCTCGTTATTTGCGGGCTGATGAGGTGGCGCAACAGAAGTGTTCTTAATAATATTGAGGAAGAGGACACTTAAAACTACAAAATATACAAAAAGACACGCACATAAGTGAATCTTCGGGGTACACAGCGCTCGCAGTAGAAGTCTACCGTGGGTACCGGTGTGGCGCACTGCAGCCGAGATTCAGAGGAATACAAAATAAAAAATAGTTGGGCAGCTATAAATGGAAGACCTTCATGCATGAAATGTGTTGCCAGACTAGACAAAGCGAGCTTTGAACCATTTTTAAAGGCAAAAAGAAAGGTATTTTAAGCGTCATGTGGATATACTAAAAATCCAGTAGACCTCCGCACGACCGGTTAATGTTGCATAGACACCGTATGACAACCAACTCGTAGACATTTCTTATCGCCTTGTGCAAAAAAAAAAGTTTTTTTTCATATCAAACTTTTTCTAAGCTGCCGTAATATATATATAAAAAATTCACTAAACACGTAAACTGAGGGGGCAAGGGGGCAACGGTGGGAAGAGGGGAAACGTCCCTGGGTACGCGCGTCCACAAGCTACCCATAATTTCCTAAGAAGGGGGTATCAATGGCACTGCACTAGGCAAGGAGTGATCCATATAAAGAGGGAGATCAGAAGTTTTTCGGTTTGTTCTCGGAGAGTTCGGCGAAAAAAAATTATAAGCTCCGAAATTTCTGTTGAAGCAAAGTTAAGGAAGGCAATATTTATGATATAACCACGCACGTTTTTGAATTGGAGAGCTTTTGGCGTATAATTTTTTGAATTGCAAAACATAAGCTCAAAGTCAGCAATCATCAGGTCATGGCTGAATAGCCGCCTGTATCTACTTTCTCAGCAATCATCTCCAGCGTCACGGGAGTCCTGAGTGCATCACGGTGCTGAGCAAAAGCTCCATAATGTAAACTCGAGGGAGAATAAATCTTGCTTTATCACTGTTAAATATGTCGGGAACTTTTTCTTAGACAGAAGTTTAAAAAAATCTTTAAATACGAACAGCTGCTTCAAGTTTTTAAAAATTCAAACTTTATGCAAAAATAGAGCGCAACACCCGCATCAACTACTCCTACAACATTAGCATTGAGGCAGTGGCGATGATCAAGCGCTAGCAAGGGGGTGGTACCTTTTGATATGAACTTGAAAAGAAGATGGCGATGCAGAAGTCGGCTTGGTTTTGTCTCCTTTATGATTCGCAAAATATTGCTCGTAGTGCAAACAATTCAGCTACAACAATCAGCAAGAATAAAAGTATATATGAAATAAAAACTGTAGATAACCCGTTTTAAGTTTCTTAAGACAAAAATATGTCGTTGCTTAATTAATGCAATTTCCTTTAACATTTTTCTTGGGAACAGCAGACGTGCCTTTCCTGCTGGTATTATAAAGAATAGCACGTAGTGTTAACAATAACTATAAAATGATATCAGGAGAATAGTAAATATAGTTAGACTTTTCCAATCCCCACCGCTTGTTCTCACTGCTTGGCTCTTCTTCGGCTAAAAGCAGAGTATTCCATTAAGATGGACGCGCAATAAAGTTTAGTGTAGCATGCATTCCTTAGGCCCTCGACAACAGTGAAAATTTCAAGCTTTCTAGGTAGTTCTCCTCGAAAGCCCGAACAAACGGGAGTACCACGCCTACAGTTGTGCTTATTTAAAAAGCCACGTAGAGAAACACCCATGAATAAACGGGAGCAAGGAGGAAATACCAAGATAGAGGGGCCTAATCCAAAATGAGAATATTAATAATCATAGGTTGAGCTCTCCACCCGCAGCAATAAAACAGGAAGCTACTTGGTCATCCACAATTCACCGTTGGTAGCACCGTCCGAGCAGCTTGCAAGGGCGTGACAAGTAAGATATTATACGGAAGGGGTACGCACGTGGCCCTACCATTTTTCTGTGTGAAAGTCCGACTGGCAGCTATGGCTAATGAAGCGTGCTTTGCTACCGTAAATGCAGCCGTCAATGACGCTGCAGCCAGAATAGTGCATAAATAACAAGTATGACGGTTCCTGCAAGTTTAGTGCGATCAGTTTACCACCGTGGGTTTAGCACGCTTAATAACTTAAGCAGGTGCAACCTGTATGGGTCGTATACCCTGCGCTTGCACTCAGTCTCGCTAATAATTTCGACGAGAATCCCTTCCCCCCCACCCAACTATCTTGCTCGCAGGCACGGAGGTGTCTATAGCACCACCCATAAGATACACCAGTTGGCTTCTTGCAAGCGACGATTGCTGTCGGTTACATTAAAAAGTTGTGCAAGTCCCACCAAAGTTCGCAAGCCAAAACCTCTAATGAAAACGTGAAGCAAGAAGGTAGTAAGAAACGAATGCTACAGTAAAAAAGTGCAACAGAATACGAGTACTTTGAACATTTTCAGATGACTGCCTTGAACAAAATCGCGTTTGGTATAGTCTTGGTTGGTGCACTTTTCCTTGCAGGGACATAGCAGTATTTTGCACTCGTGATACATACACCTAACAATATAATGCACAACTTTTCGTTCAGGTCAAGCACAGTACCTGTTCCCGCAGGTTTCCGGGCAGCCACTCCTAGGGGGTTGAAGACGGGGATGATTTCCTGAACCTCCTTGGTGGAAGGCTTTGGTACGTCAAAATACAAGTCTACAGAAATACAAGGAAGCAAGACCGAGGGAGCAAACTTAGAAAAACCGTTGAAATTTGTTAGGTTAGTTAAATAATGAATAAAAGAGAGCAAGGGTTTAAATTAAGCCAATCGTTTAAAAGCGAAGTGTGAAAACCAAAAAGAAAGTTGAAAGAATTGGCAATATTCTTAAGTGTAAGCTCTTAAAAAAGAATATTATTTTTAACTGTGTAAGACGAAGAGCAATCCACTGGATCTCCCAGTAAAAAGTTGTGCAAGTTATCTAGGTGCAAATCAAAAGGCAATCTGAAGGGGATGTACTGCGACAACAACTCGGCGCCAAGATATAAGTGCGTCGGAAATAAGCGCCCTTAAAGTCAAATTCGTGAGCCAAAGATTAAAATCAGAAAAGATGAAAAAGTTAGAAATATAATGTTCCAACAAGTAAAGAGTAGTAACACTATTTAATATTTAAGCAGTGGTTCACTTATAATGCTATGTTTTTAAAAGCTACAAAATTTTAAAGTGGAATTCTAGCCATAAATGCCCTTCAACCACAAAATAAAACCTCTCCTTTTAAACCCCTTTTCGGTAAGTTTAAGTCTTCCTCTAAGCATGCGGCCGACTCGTACGATCCCTGTGGGGTATCCTTCAAGTAAAAAGGAATTTAGATAATCAGCTCAACTTTAGAAATTTATAAACTTATTAAATATCTGAACGTTACTAAAAGAAAAGGAAATAGCAATGGCTATAAAAAAAAGGTTATTATAACCTAATTTCCCGTTCTTTTTGGCTGACTATCTCTCTGACAATGTACAATTACTTTCTAGTGAAGAGTTTAAAATCGGAAAGAGGTTTAAAACTTCATGTAAGGTAATAGTTGGAAAAGCTTTATTTTCTTTAAATAATACATGCAGTTCTTGGTAATGTAAATCTTCTTTATAAGATTAATAAGGTAAAGAAATAACTTAATGAAGTTTCTTAGCTTCTCAAGTATGGCAATCACAGAAAAATTTTTTTTGTCCACCATTTTTTTTATTTGAAGAAGTGTCCTTTATGGCATCGAACTTGCTATCTATTAAGCTCAAAGGAAAAGGTGTGGACGGGCGTTTGAAATAGTTTTCCTTTTTCTTCTTTTATTAAGGAAGTCTTTGGCAAATTATGGGGGCTTTCAGAATAAATTTTTAATTAAGGTTGCACTATACTCTCCATCTCTACTGAGAACAGCAAGAGGGCACTAACATAGAGTAACAATGGAGAATATCCTTTGTCTTTATAAAATTAGCGATAGTAAAAAAGATTTATATCAGCTTTGAGAGATAGAGAAAATTAAATAGTACTAAAACTTTAAAAAGAGATAGAACGCTCAAGCGAGTCAAACAAAGATTATTATACACCAAAAATAAGAAGTATGTTCGCTAAATATATAACCTCAAAAATACAAGAATAATTTTTAAAGAGAAGAAGCCCTTCCTACTCTGTATCTGACCTGTCAGTTTGTTATACAACTAGACACCAATAAACATTAGGTTTTCTCTAGCGGAAAGGTGATAAACCCTCCTTCACTGACAAAATTTTCATATGCTTTCAATACGTTAACTAAAAAAGTCATAAATAGGTATTAGATCATTGCGTCATACAAAACGTTCTCTCGATATATTATGGTAAATACGTTAAAAGAAGCTCGTAAATTTTTATGGGGCCAAACAATAGGTTCCTATTTTGATATAATTAGTAAGTCGTTTAAATATATAAACTTAATTTTTGACGTGTCGCCCTAACTATACAATTACAGAAGTCACTCATAGTTTCATATATCCCTCAGCTGTAGTAACTTTTAGTGCTTAACCTTGGTATAAAATTCATCTTTTACGGTAAGAGTAATTCGTAGCAGGTGCATTAATTTGTATATTTTGCATTTGCTTTGCTCCCCTCCTCCATATGAAGTTATACTGTTCTCAACAAAAGTGAAATTTAATATTTTTACTTCTAGTATGGCGCCAACTTAACTGGTGGTTGTAAAAAAACGTATCTATATATCTATATCCAAGATAGAAATAATGTATGACTATTTGCCATTTACTATTAATATATATAATACATAGTAGTTAGGCTGTCCCCCTTACACTAAAACACGTTCCACCCGGGGAAAAAAGCAGGAAAAATTGAATACCCTCTTGTGGGAGCTTGCTATCTGCTTGTATTAACTGACCACGTTATATTAGTAAATGCACGGAACCAAAAACACCATGAGAAAACGCAATACTGGTTCATTAGAGACGTTCAAGTTAGCGGGAAGACCATAGGGTCGCTCTCGCGTTCTATAAAGATTTAATTTTTTTAATAAATAATTCCGTCTCGTTAAAGAGGGCGTCTACTATTTGACGTGGTGGGAAAGCAAACACGTTCTAGCCGCCTTTTCTCAGCGTTAAACAGTTTAGTTTAAAGTGGTTTACTCTCGAGTTCGTGTTAAGTTTTATTTTAAACTTTTCGTACGTTTGCCTCCTTTTTGGTTAGCGGAAAGTGTTAACAAAATCTGGAGGTGCTGACCAATGTTACGGCAGAAAAGATGTTTTACTGAGATACTGTATATTGACTAGGCTGGTCTATATTCGTGACCGAAGAGGAGATCTAACTTGCACTTTAATGCATAAATTTCTTTTTACATCCTTCTGTATTCCGTAACATAGGTTTTATAAAGGCAAAATATGGAGTCAGAAGAAGGATGGAAGGCTTGGTTTGAATACATAGTAAACAGAATAATTGGTAAGGTCACTGAGCAGTTAATTATAGTTCAAATAATTAATAGCTTGTTATAATATGAAATCTTAATGATAACTATATACAGGAAAAATACTATGTTTATCTATGATAACACCGTAAGTCAGTTGTTATAGTTTTAGCTTATTAAGTTGAAGTTTTTTCTGGTATACATCTTCTTCACTACTGGAGTCGCTATCACTTTTTCTATATTTGCTGTCCACAATTTTTTCAAAGCGGTTTCGAAACTTTGTATTCGCGCTATTGTATACATGTACATACAAAAAGTAAATTAAGGCATTCAAAATTTGACATATTCAGATTTATAGCTACCAAATACGTAGTGTTAGCAATACATAAACGAGGTTATATATTATCGTAAGCTTTAATATGTGTTTCTTTTCTTATATAGTAAACATTTTAATATATATTATATGTTTTATGTAAAGGTTGCTAATATTATGAAAGCAACACAGAAAACTGTTCCTTATAAATTAAAAACTTTTCTAAAATACGTATCCTTTTCCAATCTTTAGTTATAATTTCTAAATTTTTAAACACGTTGAAACTTTCTATTAAGACAGTAATACTAAGAAAAAGACATAGTATAATAAACCACGTTATTGTCTTGTCGTTGTCATCATTCTCGCCTTCATAGTCAGTGTAGCATAAGCTTTCGTTATCAGCTAATCTCTTATCCCAGCAGAAGCCAGATTGTTGCAATCTCTCCTTACGCACATGGCGTAATCCACTTTGGGTCAGTAATCGATCGCTTTTTATACGACATTGCTGACCCTCCCGGTCAACCCGCCGCGCGCTGGTCTTAAGTAATTCTTCCACGGGACTTCTACCACCACACTGGCGCTTGTCTGTAAGTTGCGTATTCCATTTTTTTGATTCGCTGATTAACACATGGTTTCTGGACGCGCATGAGGAGTCCATTGTGCATTCAAGTTCTTCTTGCAGTTGTTGCTGGTATTTAGCAGAGTCGTACTTTGCATGCAAGGAGCTCCCATATTTTCCACACGATTCTTCTGCCCGCCGCACGGGTTTATGCTTCAGCAAGAGCTGCTTATTGACAAAAAGTCGATGTTGAAGGGCTTCCAACGGCTCTTTGTTTCTCTCGTACTGCGCTGTTACGCGCATTAAGTAGAGAAAAAGTAATTATTATACAACATATATATTATTTTACTAAAGTTATAATTTCTGTTTATTTCTTGAAAATATTTTTCAACGACGGTAAAGTCCACATAAAAGCTGTTGTGGTAATCGTAAACATAATCATAAATTTCTAATGCGTGAATTATTGTTAATTATAACAATATTTACAAATCACTATTAATACCTTCAGCGGTGGGTCTCTTTTGAGGATTCACTTGTAAAAGAAAATATAATAGCCTTCGGCATTTTTTTGAATAAGTTCTAAAAGTTATATAAAGGTTTAAAATATATACAAAAAGCAAAGCAGGTGACCGCGAGATTTCTTTATAAGCGCCGAGCGTTATGTTCTTAAAAAGTGTAGCTAAATTCTCCCCTTTGAAAATTTACAAGTAAATAGAAAGTTAAAAAAATTTCTAATGGCTATTTGCTTAAAACCTTTGAAAGCGTGTCGATAATAGCAACATTCATATAAAACACATCCCTTGTACGTATAATAGTAATAATAGTAATGATATTAATAATAAGAATACGAGGCTCCAGATATCCGCTTTTTCATTGTAACCCTCACCTGAGGGCGTGCAAACCTCGGGGGAAAGATAATGAGGGGTTCCAACTAAAGTTCTTCCGGTAGTGCCACTGTAAGTTTATTATAGACTTTGTAAAGTTATAGTAATAAACTTTACTGTAAAACTTATTTATAATGCTTAAAAAACTACTACAAAAGATTTAAATGTAAATATTTAATAAATATCATACTTTTAAAGAATTTAATAAGATTATAAGTATAACAGAAAAAAATTGTAAAAAAAATGTTTACAGTAATTTTTTAGAACTATTAAAAATTTTGTTAGAATATGAACATAGCAAGATATATAATCAATATTTCTTTAAAAAATTATTTAAAAAAAACTTTTGTTGTTATTTTGTTAACTACACGAAGCAAAACTATTTGAAGGTATTTATAATGGTTTGCTCTTCGCCTCTTATCTTGTTTGCTTATTTTTTTATACATGAGAATAAGAGAATATTAAACAGAAATTAAGTTTTTCTAATATTTATGTAAAAAATAATTTAATAAAATAAATATAAATTAGAATGTAATAAATTAAACTTCGGCTAACATTTTTGCTACTCCAAAATCGGCCACTTTTACTGAAAAAGTATTTTTTGAGATTAGTATATTAGAAGGTTTGATATCTCTGTGAATTATAAAACTTGTAGAGATTTTAAAAATTATATTAATAGTAGCGCGAAAATATAATTTTTTAACTTAAACAATAATTAAAATAATTAAAATAGTGTGATAAAAAATTATTATACCATAATTGTAAATAGTAGATAATGCAGTAAATTATAAATAACAATGTAATATATATATATTTAAAAGCAATATAAACATATATAATAAATTACGATAAATATAATAATGATATATAGTTACATTAGAAATAAATACTAAAATTATATTATGAACAACGATATTAATATATATTATAAAATAACAAAAATAATTATAAATAATTAAGAGTAGTAAAATAAAATGAATTGTTAACAAAAATAATTATATAAAAAAATAAAACAAAAATAAAAGACTAAATTATAAAAATAACAGGAATAATTATATATAATCAAAAATAGTAACTAATAATTTTTTGTTGACAACAATAACATTTAAATTAAATCATATATTATTAGCAACAACAATATGTAGAATATCTAATAATGAAGATAAAAAATAATAACTTTTGTTTTAAAGTTCACACCCTCAAATAAGTAATAATTACATTTTATAATTTATATATTTGTTGCAGTTTTACTTATAAAACTTTATTATAAAACACGGAAAAGATTGTTAGTTCTCAACTTACAGCCTTACTGAACTTTAACTTCTCTCATTTAAAAATATATAGATTTTAAGTTATGACTAATATTAGAGGAGTTTTTAGTATATACAAAATAAACAGCCACCCACTATTTGAATATTTAATATCGCTTCACAAGCTTTAGTGATGCCGTGATGCCCTCTTTTCTGAAAATTCGTGTTTTTTTTACATAAGAGCTCAGTTAAGGTCTTTTACCCCTCATAGTGCTTAAAACTTATTGTAAAATTTAGTTGAAAAAAAATTTTTTTTAAGCCCAACTTGAATAATTAAAAACTGAAAAAAAATCTAATACTGCAGAATTATTATATAATAGTCGATTAAAAAGGTGAAGTTTCCTTTAGTATGCGGTAAAAGTAGAAAAATAATAAAAATTTACTATAAGAAATATTCAGTTTATATTGATAGATATAAAAGTGATATTAAAAAAGTAGCTTTACAAGTTAATAAAGTAAAGATTTTACAGGAAAATAATAGAGTATTTTTTTTACAGTTTATGCAAGTAGTCTAATGCCAAAGCAACTTGGCCTATCCAGTACAAAACGAGCTGTTTCAAAACATTAATAAATTTGAAAATCTATGATGTATAAAGTTTACACTTTCTGGCAAGTAATATTTCTCGTTTTTAGCATAAAGAAGGAATTGTCGCAAGTTGCCTATACAATAATATCAATAGAAAACTTTTTTTTAAAATAAAAAATTTATTTTGTTAAGCACTGTGGCTTTACCTCCATTTACAAACTCCAAGACGATATTAATGGAACTAGCTTCAAGATATGTCTCTTTGTAGCCTTTTATATAGCCGTAAGTAAAAAATTTTAGCATAAACAAGGTCAATGTAAATTGTGGTTACAACCAATAATGTGGGGATGGCTTAGTCTTTCGAGTAAATGGGCTTCCTTGCAACGTTAAAGATAGGGGAGTTAGGATATTTGCGCAAATAAAACAATTTTTTCAGAAAGAATTTACTTCTAAAATCTTTTTGGTTTGTTCTGGTGTCATCTCTTCGATGAACACAGTCTTTTGAGCAAAAAACTGCTTCTTACGTTTTGTTTGTACCAACGTTACTCTTCAGTTATCATAAGTAATTAAGAAAAAGAGAAAATTAAAGCTACTAAACGCGTTAAAGAATACTACTACAATGGAAAAATCGTTTTATATTTTAAAAGAAAATTACTAATATAGTTATAAAATTAATTTAACGGCCAAGATATACTATGCACACTTATAAGTAAAGTTCAAATTTATTTTATTGGATTCATCTATATCCTGTTTTTTCTCAAAAACTATGCTTCGGAAAATTTTAAATTCAGAAATTTAATATCTCCATTTGAGAATCAATTTCTTTTATTTAGAATATGACGGCAATAAATATAATTGCTAACAAAGTCTCAAATACGGAAAAAATTAAACTGGGAGTATGGCAGAAAGTTAAATAAAGTGGAAACAGTACATTCATTTTGGCTAGAAAAACACCTACTACCCTCCTAACAGTGCTTAAAAATTGACTATAATTGACGACACAATATAGAAACAATTCATTGTTGTAGTTATAGAGTTACCTTCCGTAATCGCTGGAATGAAGGATTTGAAGAGAGATGTACTCTTCCTCCGGCATATATAAATTTTTATTACAATCAGAGATTTTTAGAAAAATAAGTTTTTTTATACAAATTGCGTCAATAAAAATAGTCAATAAACGGTTAAAACCAGAGTAAACCCAAAAATGTATAGATATGGTAAATGGGTTCACTAAAATCCACTCTCCAATTTTTTTAGGGAAAGGTCACTCTTGACCGGCGTTCAACATTTTTACAAATAAATTTTGTTTAAATATATACAAATTTTTAATCACTCGTTAAAACTTATTACATACATGACATAAACTTCCTAATTGTATAAAATGGCACATACAGCACTAATTTTTTTAAGTAAACCAAAACTTCAAATTTTGAATATCAAATTATTGAAGTTAGACCTCTCACGAACTATCTAGAATGCTCTCTTTTAAGAAACCTAAACCGTTAGATTGTAAAAAATATATATGCGTTGAAAAGAAAATTGAGAGTGTAAGGTATTTATTGTGCTTGCAAACCCTCTGAAGAAAAATAAAAAAAACCTGGCGATTGCTTCAGAAGTGTCAAGTTCACTTTTATAGTTCTAGATATGTTAATACCAAAAAAATTCAGTCAGGAGCACTTAATAGTTTGCTTCAAAAAATCTTCTGAAAAGTTTTTATAAATACCAAAACTCCCTATGATTAAGGTTGAACAGATTATCGTAGCTGGAATTTTAATAAATAACTAATTACAATTTTTAGTAAGCTTATTGTATATAACAATGTAGTTACGTTAACTACATAGT